TGTCAGGTACTCAAGCCCCAATTAAGTTTACAGACGAGGGCAGCTGTTTTGTTAGTTCTCAACAAGTGATCTTAAAAAAAGTGTAAATCTACGATACATGTAAACCTGTGTTGTAACTTTAATGTTCTTATTTTCTTTGCAGTGTTTAGTAGAATGCCGGAAAAACGTTTGTGAAAAACTAGGCCTTAGTCCAGAAGATGTAGAATTGAGCATGGGAATGTCAAATGATTTTGACAAAGCGGTAAGTGTATTGTTTGAAGGCTGTGTCCAGTCAGTTGAGTGACATCTTAAGACATGTTACGGATAGTTGCAATTCTGTTTAACTGGTATTATTGGTATTTCAACATAAGGGCACATGAATGAAGTATATTTGTTTCAAGAGAGTCAGTTGACTGTATCTGCAAACATTCTTTTACCTGCTGAAGGAAGTTATAACTTTATTTTTTGTGGGCACGGGATAGAGACAAAAATCTGAGTCCCCAACAGACTGGAACCCATGATCTTCCACACACTGGTGTGGTCAATGCTCTAAGCACTGAGATACAGGGAGACTCATGGCAAGCTGGTTCCTAAAAAAAAGCATCCTGTGTGGAGCGAAAGCATGTCATGTTGTATGTGTTATTGAGTACCAACTGTTCCAAAGAGATGGGACAAACACTTGCTATCAAAGAAGAAGTATTGTCAATTATCATTATCAATCAACACTAGAATGGTTTTTGATTGACTGTTCTCAAACTCATTAATAATTCATCAAGTTACAAAAGAAAATCACAAGGTTACCATGAAGGAGGTTTGGATACTCGGGCTTAATTAGCACAGATTTTGACGATTTTACTTCTCTGTTTACTCCTTAGTTTTTGTTTGGGCTGAGAAGATATATCAAACACTCGGGATAGTGTTTCATCGGCCATCCAAACAGCTCGAATTTCGTCAAAAATACTTCGCTGTGCGTCGTATTTTCAACTCTCTTCTCGATGGCTGAATACCCCGATGAAACACTGTCTTTCGTCTTTGATATATTACTTGAACATAAATAATAAAAATGTATTTTTTGGTCTTGCTTTTTCTGCTTGGGCTCTCTACATCATCATAATAATAAAAGATGGTTTCTAAAGACGAACTCCTGTATAAACATGCTCTAATTGTTCAGAAGTGTGAACAAACTAGTTTTTCACACTTGGCACTGGCTTCAGGATTTCTCTCTGAACTTACATTGGTTGTTAACGTTATACAAGTTCTTGTGATTGGCCAGTTGTGTTGGATCATCTCTGATCATGTCTGGCTTTTCCTTCGTACTCCCTTAACTGTCCCCCAGTTCTAAACAACGCATGTTTCTTTTTTGGTAGATTTTAATGGGCAGTACAAATGTACGAGTAGGCAGTACCATATTTGGTGCAAGGCAACCTAAACAGCCAAGCAATGCCTCCACAGTGCAGGGAGCTACTCAGCCTACCCCCCAGGAACCAAAGTCGACACCTGATGTATCACAACTCAACATTAGCAAGGATATGTTACAAAACTTGAACATAGACAATGAAGTCAAAACCAAAAGATGTACACATTCTGCGCACAGCAATGCAACATAGCGATAGAAATTATTTTGTGGAATTTGCTGGCGTTGATACCAGGGGTTCTGCTATAAACTGCAGCCAGGTCGTGCGACACTTCAACTCAAAGTCTACCATACTCTGCTCCTTTAGAATCATTTTTACCAGTGATTTTTTTTAAGGGCACAATGGTAAAAGTAAAAGAAAGCGAAGGACATAAAAATAATTAAAATGGTTAACAAAATTGAAAGTAGCAGTAGTAATAATAAATCGTTATTGATAAGTCACAAAACTAAATGTGAATTTGAGGATGCTAAGTTTTAGATTGTGTTTTAAAATCTAAAGATCATTCTTTGCTTAACACAGGGTTCGTATGGGTCCTGGAAAACCTGAAAAGTCCTGGAGTTTTGTTGTGGTGTTTTCCAGGATTGGAAAGCCCTGGAAAAAGGCTTCTGGTCCTGCATAGGTCTGGAAATCTATTGAAATTCACCAAATTCTCAGACCAAAGAAAATTATCTGAACTAACATTACAAGAATTGAATGGCAGACAGTAAGGGCAATTAATAGTGGGAGTGAAAGGGATTTATGTTAATAGTTTTTAAAATTATTAACAGAAATTTGAAAACGCAACAGTCACCGGTCGTTTTGGATTCGTTTGAGCAAAACGCAGACAGGGAAATTACGTGATTATCGTAACGTCTTTGTTTTGGTAGAGCTCCGTTTTTAAAATGTGTTCTACCCATACTAAAACGCAAAGCCGGCGTTTTCGAACTCCGTTTTAAAGAGCGTTTTTGAAAAGCTCCGTTTTCGTGACGGATTAGTGTGGACGGTAGGCCTAACCGTGGAAATAACGCTGCGTTTTCAAATTTCTCCGGCGTAGTGTGGACGGAGTTTAAAATTGCTGTTAATTGTAATGGAGAGTGTATTTTGACTGGCCTTGCTTGCCAAAATACAGGCCAACTCGTCACATATACAGATATTAAATGTCTAATAATGACATGCTTTCTCATCGCACCAGTCACAATTTCAGTCAATAACAAAACCGCGACAAGGTCTTTTCAGTTTATGGATTATGAACTTTTTTCACTCAGGTAACAGTTCCAAATGTGTAAAAGTACCTGCAGATAATATAAGCTTTCGAACAGAGGAAGCTATAAGAAGGTGTGAATCCACTTAGTCATGTTACGTTGCTTGCATGACGCAAGGGAAAGTTTTTGGGAAACTGATTCCTGATTCTATCTTTCCCTGAATGCGGT